CATGACTTAGAATTATTTCAAATACATTGGTTGAAAATTAAAAATATGATTTATCTAAGCGCTGTTTGCTTCAGTTCAAAAATTATTTAAGCAAAAAAAGTTAAGAGCTAGAATTCAAGTTATCTATTTAGGGTTACTTTGTGCAAAGGTAATGGTATTACCTTTAGTGTATGTCATTGTGAGTCCTCCTAGAAAGGCTCTAGGCTTGCATTATGTCTAGTTTACCCTTGAAGACAACAGAGACACAACAGTGTGGCAGTGACATTTAGCAGGACAGTGCATACCCACAGCATGTATTGTCTATTGCTCCTGATAGTGTCCAGGTTTGATGGATTTATCCTCTATGCTCACCTATCAGTTTCTATATTCCATTTTTGCCATGCACTCACTACTTTTTATTTTGAGTCCTCAAAGATTTCTTATCATATATATATATATTCATAATTGTCTTCTATATCCCAATATTACCATTACTGTTTATGTCTGAAATACTGCATTATTTTTATGTTCAGATATGGTATTTGGATGCCATGCATTTGAAAAGTTCTTGACTACCTTCTGTCTGCTATTGGTTAAATATTGTCTAGATTTTAATTTTTTTCTCTCTAGTGATATCCAGGAAGGATGATATAACTCTTTACATTTGTGCAGCATCCTGTTAATGGTGTCACTGTCCTTCACTATAATCTGAATCTGAGATGTAAGTAGATTAGATATGCTCAGTCTATTTGTTGCTTCAAAAAGAGCTGGATAGTGTGTAAAAGGATAAAGATCTGAATAGTGGAGATGTGAGAATGCTTTTGTCAAGTGTCCTCAGGGAAAAATACTGCCTTTTTAGATAAGGGAGAAAATATATGGTTACTTTTATATAGTCTAAAATGCATTTTTCTAAAGAGGAATTCTTCTTGTGTCCACATGGTGCTAAGTGGCAGGTTGTTCAACATGAATAGTAACTTTGCCTTAACAGTGAAAGCAAACATTAAATGATAAAGGGAAATAATTTGTTGTGGACTGCAACAAAAATGCTCCTATCTTCTCTGAGTTTCCCTTGTCCTTAAAAGACATCCACATATTAGAAAACATTCATGAAGTGAGAGCTGCAAGTCATCAATAATAACACATTTTAGTGGCAAAATCCATTGCAGAGTGAATGCCATGCCCAGCTTTAGCTGTTATTGGAAACGATTAAGTCTTGTGATAATCTGCACGCTGATGCCAGAGCAATCAGACTGCAGTGCTTCATGAGGACCACTTGTGAAATCTCTCATATTATTGAGCTGCTATAAAGATGCTTCAGGTTTTCTCTCGATATGTACAGGTTTTTACAGGTGTGTAAACTATTTCTTGTGCTTGATTCTCTGAAAAAGTCCATAATGCATTGTATTTGTGAATGTGAACAATGATCAAAGTGTAAATGGATTGCTCTTAAATAATCATCAGAATTCCTTATAGGATCAATCCAAAAGCACACAACCCCTTAGGTATTTCTTCCGAGTAGTTTCTGGCTGTTTTCATTTGCAGTTCTTGTAAGGAGTGCCAGAGATGAATAAGTGGCAATGAGATACTTGTAGATATAAGCAGGTAATGATTAAAGTAAACACTTCCGAAGCCACAGTGTTACTTTTTGTACTTTTTTAAAAGTTGATTTTTTTCCTCCTACCTATAATGTACTAATGCACTCTGAATCAGAGTTAATGACAAATTAATTTCTGTAAAGCAAATTGTTTCTCTGTGAAAATACATATTCAAATAAAAAAATAAAAATGTCACATTCACACACCTCTTAGTGATGACAAGATTTTAAGATGGAGATTAATGTCATGTGACTACTTTCTAGATATTATGAAATTAAGCCATCTGCTTTGCGCAGAAGGTCCATATAAGATCCTTTGCTATCTAAACTCATCATCTATTGAGATGTTGTATGTATATAGTTAAATCCAGAGGTAAAGAGGACAAATAGCTGCTCTTCCAGACCATACATAGATAACAGTTGCTAAGATACCTCATGGATTATGGATGTGGAAGGGTCTCTCTCTCCTACATATTCTTCTGGCTCTGGTATAGAGAGAACTAAATTTTACTCCTAGTAGAAAGATCAAATAAATCCTTCTAGAATAAATCCTTGCCTAAAATAGGGCATAAATCGCTTCACCCAAATCATCTCTCCTAACATTCATATTTCTTGTCTTCTTTATTAGAGTTCTTTGGTCTCCTGTGGCACTCCCTTCACTGTTATTTCCCTAGTGGCATCAAGTCGTCCATCTGTACCTATGCCTGTTGGTTTTTTTCCTCCCACTTACAGCTTCAGATTTATTTTTACATGAAGTACAGGAACGTGCAGATCTGTAGGAGATGCACCATCTGGTTCCAGCGCAGTGTTTTTTCTTTCAGCAACATGCCTTGCTGCAGTTTCTGTCACTTGGTGCTTCCAGATGACAAGTGCTATTCAGATGAAGCACTTCCTATTCCCAAGGTGTAAGACAAGAAGAGCCCTTCCCTGAGGTCTACATAGGTCTACTTGTGCTTCTTGCAGGTATTTTGGCATGTATTAAAACTCCATACCCAGAAGTTCTGACTTTTGCCTGTGTGGCTGAAGAAGGGAGAGCTCAGCTGCTGGAGTGTGAGGTCTAATCCACTATCCACACATACTGAGGAGAGAGAAAAGTGGCTGACTGCAGCTCTGATGTTACAGTTTCTTGGATTTACACGTTAGATCATTTGTATTAAATAGCTAGATACATATATTGGAAAAAACTGTTTTTTTACATCTGACAATTTGTGCAACTTCTTTCTTTACTGAAGTGATTAGCATTTTTGATCAATCCAGTTCCATGGCATATCTTTGAGGAAGAAGTCGGTCAAATTACATACTACTTTACATCTCTTTGAGGAAGAAGTTGGACTTATCTCTAACATGAACAAATTGCATGTTCTTTTGTCTTATAAATGGTAAATCCAATTTGTCTTCGAGGAAATTAGTAGGCAGACTGAATCTTTATGTATTGTGCATTACTTAATGGCAGTTTGGTAATTTCTATTTGAAGTTTGTTCAAGTAGGGGAAGTTTTCTTGAAAGAACTGCGTTGTTGTGATCTACATTAGAAGCTAATGAGAGAAAATGCAAAATACACTTCTAAAATTCTTCATCATGGCGAAATGTAATGTTGTCTTAAAAGAGCATAGTCAGTGCACACATGAGTGTTTACTGGCTGTGGCAAACCTTTTCTGTATTTTTTTTTCTTTTCTGTCTTTTTTTTTCTTTTGAATCTTTTTGTGTGTTAATTTTCAGGTTGTGTGATTCAAAAGTCCATTTTCATGTAGTGATTTACACTTTTACGTACAATCTAAATGTTCCCACATCTTTCAAGCATGCTGATAAAGGAATATTTAAAATACGGTATGACAATGCTAAATCACATACTGGTGGTTCAGTTATTGGTGTGTTCACTGTTTTGAATTTCTTTTGGAATTCTAAGACCGGTGAGAGTCCTTGTGCTCACTTTCCATAATACTAAATAACGCATCTAAAGACATTTGGTTGGCTAATGTTGCTTACAGCTAAATGTTTTGCACAGTGCAAGGTCAGCAGTGAGCTACAAATTAGTTCTAATATTAGATATGAGAGTGAAAAAGTTGTTATTGAGCTTGATTTAACTACAGAAAAACATTCTCTTCTTTCACTTGCTTCCAGTACTCTACCAGCTTTTTACATAAGCTTTTTTTTTTTTTTCTCTGAGCTAAAGGGAGTTGAATAGTTCTTTCTTTGCCAAAAACAAAACAAATAAGCATTCAGAAGAAATGACCAAAATAATCTCTGAATGTAGGTCAAAATAGTATTTTAAATATATTATTGTACCGGTTGATATTTTGAATATGTTGTACTGCGTTAATGTATTGAAGAAACAAATTGTGATCATGAAAATTAGTTAATTTGGTGGAATTGGATCTTGGCAAGTATTTGGAATCACTGTAGACAATTAATTCAGCAAGGTTGATGTACTTTTAAATCTTGAACTAATAATGGAATGAGTTTCATTCTAATTAAAGTAGTTATTAATTTGTAAAACTGAACACTATCAGTTTGCTCAGAAAAAAACTCTTAACATGTTTAATTACAACTTGATTACTTTTTCTTAATGTTCTAATTAACTTCAATTAAGTGAAACCGGGATTTTTTTAAGGAAATAGCAAGTTTATGTTAATGCTAACTTGGGTTAAAATAGCTAAGTAAAAGCTTAAAGCTTTTGGGGTGGACGTGAAGATGGGATTGCATGATGAATAATTTCTGACTGTGTGACTATGGAATTTGTATTTGTAGATTTGTATGATATATTTACACTATCATATCTGAAGCTTATATTAAAATGACAGTTAAGAATACATGATTGTTAGACAGGTACATGCTGGATAACAGTTCTCTAAGTAAAAAAGCTTCTGCAAACCTAAAAAGTGAAGCTGATCTAAATCATTCTTTTACTCTTGGCCTGAGGTATATTGTCTACCATGCAACAAAGGAAAGTATAAAGAAAGAGCAGGCTTTGTGCCTGATCAAAAACTTCTGAATGAAAGCAAATTTTGTAATTTAGAAGTGGGAAAAAAAAAAAAGAGATAATATTTATCATTGCTTTGAAACATTTTTCAAAAATAAATTTAAAAACTCAGAGGGTTCTATTGAACATCAAAATAAACATTATTAAGTGCTAGTCAGAGACTTGTAGTTATACTGGGCATTTTTATTTTTTATGATTTTTTTCAAAAATTAGATGTACCATTTTGGTTGTCCAGAAGTATTTGTTTTCTGAACTTAGGATTGAGAACATTTTCAGAAGCGAAATGAAGGGGAATTGTACCTTTTCCAATCTTTATTCATTGGCCCATCATCCAAGAAATGGGATATTTTTTTTTCTCATAATCTGCTGCATGAGTACTTGATGACCATGTCTTCATGTCTCCCTGGATAATGGAAGTCAAGGGAGATGTACTTTTTTTTGTTCCAAGGAACAAAAGCAAGTTGGAGCAAGCAATAGAGCTGAAACTCTTGGAAGAACCTGCTCTTCTCTGGAGTTCTTGACAGATCTCTGCAGCAGCACTGCTCCCAATTGGGGGAAAAGGCAGTAAGTATAAGAATAACTTCCCTTTGAGACTGCAAATTTTATCATCAACAGAACTGCTTTCCTCATGTGAAGTATGGCTGTGCTTCCAGTTAAGTGACTCGGCCTTACAGCAGCATATTAATATATTAGGTACCTGCAAAAACTTGTATAATAATTGAGAACCTTACTAAACCTTGCTAAAGACAAATACCCGAAGTGAGAGTCTGTTCATAATTATTGTTCTGAGATAAGGATGGATTACTGAATTAGGACAATGAAGCTGTAAGGAACTACTTCAGACTATGACCACTTCTAAATTTCCCATTTTAGAATAGATACCAACCATTAATTTTGGTATTTAATGTAGAATTTCAGAGCCTGAAATTGCTTTGGGGGATGATAGTATTGTGAAAGCTTCCATACCGCATAAATATTCTTCAGGACTGATTATTTGATTTAATTCTTCTGATAAATTTTCTAGGAATATCAGCAGCACTGACAACAATGAACTACCTGCCACTGTTAATTAAAATCTGTATTTGAACACTACTGCTACAGAGCTATACCAATCAATATTTCCCTTGAAAAATAACTGCTTTATAGATTTGTCATATTTTAATTGATACTTTTATAGTATGTTTTCTTCCTTACAGATCAGGCTGTTAATGTCAATGGCTCTTAAGTGCAATTTCTTAATACCTTTCTTAAATTGAAACTATGCAGTATATTATTTTTGAGACAAAGCTCAAACCATCCTCAAAAATCAAGAATCTATGTATTGGTAATTTCTTTTGAAAAATTTTCAAGAAAGGTATTCATCTTGCAGTTTTGTAGATACTGCATAAAGGAGGATCAGAGCATCATAGGAATTACTTCTGACACAGCGAAGAGCAATATCCAGTGAGTACAGTACATGCAGTGAGTACAGTAATGGATGCACTATACTAAAATACCATGTTTGCATACTTTGCATATCTGGTAGTGAATGACTTCATGAAACCAAAACTTTGACTTCATTTTACAGTGTCTGACAGAGCTGACTTGGCCTGTCTCTTTCAATCTAGGGATAAGTGGATTCTTTTTTCTTCTGATAAAACCATAAAACTACATTCCTGTAAGTGCCTCACACCCTTCCCTGATGATGTATCCAGGGAAAAGAGTCATGTTCTACCTCAGCTGGTTCTAGCTCAGTATTATGAGCACTCAGTGCATGGGGTCTATCCTTTCTCCTTCCACCCTTCCAGAAGGGGAGCTGGTCAGTGAGGAGTGGACTGCAGGTACAACAACTTGGGGAAGATCTCTCCAGGTAGATTTTTTGCAGATCTCTCCAGGTAGATTTTTTGCAGTTTTCAGCAACTACGGTAATATTCACAAAACTACTGAGATCAGAATGTCTCTCAGTTAAAGGCAGAATCACTTTATTTGTCTAACTTTTATCCAACTTTCTCTCTGCCTTTGGGTCTTTTCTTACTTCCACTTTGAACTCCTATCCATAACTGAGTTCCAGATATTGTTAGTTTCTTTCAGTGAGGATATAGTATTTGAGCCTCAGTAAAATGTAGAAAGCATGTAAATTTTCTGTATTTTATTTACTTTTATATTATAAAACTTTAAGACCAAAAAAAGCTCAAAAGGGGAACCCAGATTCCCTCCCCTTCTGCCCAACATTTGCGTTTTGACAGGTTGTTTTGCCTTCTTTCATCAACCATTACAGATGACCATTTAGATAACAAATACCTTCACGAAAAGGCATTGAAGGTACTTCCAAACAAAATAGATTTTGTGCTAATACTAGCAGCATGTAAAGAGCTAGTTATCAAGATTTTGACAGTACTGTTTTATCATGTATGCCTTGCATAGGAGACAGTACATCATTAGACAGATTCTTACTCTACTGTATGAAAGAATATTGATATAGAAAACAGTGATGTTTTGTAGCATGTTTTGTGACATGGTAAGACAGGGTGCTGCCATATATTGTTGATTGCTGCTTTAAATGACACAGGAACCAAGATTTCTTCAACAGGGGGGTGAAGAACAGTGACAGTAACTGACTTATCCTTGGGCATCCTTTTCCTTCCGATAAAAGAAGCTTTGATAATAGTGTGAAGTGAGTTGTGGAAAACAGCTGACAATGTGAGGCACCGCTGGCTAACAGAGTCACTGTACAGCTGCAAGGACAGTCAGCAGCCGCAGTGACAAAGGGAACAGACGTTGAGGAAGACATAAGGAAATGTGTTAAGTCTCCATGAACTCCAGTTATCAAGGCTGCTGGGTCACTGCCCTCAAGAACTGTGTAATATTGACACTTTTAACATTTTACAGAAAAAAAAAAAAAAAACAGGTCTTGGGGGGAATTACTGAAGATAAGAGGTAATTGGGGCGAGGGGGAGGAGGAGGGAAAGGACCTACTTTAGCTCAGGCATTGAGCCATGAAACTTAGCAATGGAAAAGACATGTTAGGTTACCTTGTCATTCCCCTGACAGGGCAGAATGATTATTTACACTCTAGCTAAGCATTTGCCCAGGCTTCTCTCATATCCCTTTCAAGTCTACACTGCTGTGAGACGATGGTGTATATTTGTAAGTCTCTTTCTCTTTGCCCCTTCTCCATTTCTCTGTGCTTGTCATGTTTTGTATGGAGGCTTGCAATGCAAAACATGGCCCACAGTTCTAAATTTCCGCCTCAGATATCTCTAGTAAAGATGTTGTCTGCATCTTTAAAAAAAAAGAAATTGTTGTGTTGTAACATGCATAAAAATGAGAGATGCAAAAGGAAAAAAAAATGAAAAATTACAAGCTTGATGTTATTTTGACATTGTTTTCCTCATGCTCTGTGCCAAGTGAAACTCAATCAGAGTATTAAGCCAGTGATTATCCAACGCGTTACTTGTCATACAACTAACTTGTTTATTCATTAAAAAAAAAGTTTTATTTATTCTAACTAAGCATATTTAAATAACTCCTGTCAAGATCTGTAGTCTTAAAGCTCAGTTTGGCTTACTGAAAGTTTTGAGCAAATAGCTGAAATTATTTGCACGACTTTTCTGATTGGAGAGTCACTGGAAAGTCTATTGCATTAAAGTCCACATTCATAATCTTTTCCACAGATCATCTATTTCTTAATTACATCTTATCAGCAAAAGGAAGAATTTATTTTGATTTACAAGTGGAAATTTATGAATTTCTAAGTACATTAATAGACACACCAAGTCAATCACCTGTGGAACCTAAATTTGTTTCCTCTTTTGCATGCAGATGAAAACCCTGAATATAGATAGTCTTTGATCTAGGTGGAGTAATTTGAAAAATTAAATTGCCCCAACTGTTGACATTTTCATATAATTTACACAGGAACACTCTCTCTCCATGTCAAATCAAAGTGATATAATCTAGATAATACATTATACTAATTATGTGTACGTATTATATGTATATCTGCAGAATGCAGGTAATAATCACATGTGCAAGGAACAGAATAATCTGTTTCCACTGCAGCACAGTTATGAAGGAATAATTTTGCAAGTTCATTTTTTTCAGCATTATGCAAATATAATTCAAATAGGAGATGTAGAAAGAAACACAGGATGATGTGGACCATTATTGCTGAGTTTGTCAACCCGACAAGAAGCTGCAGTTCAAATTTCATTTGCAGTTGGATGCAAGAAGCTTAAAATCTCTATTTAATCATGGATTTGACTTGCTATAGATGCCAAAATCTATAAAGCATAGGGAGGATGAGTGCATTTATTGACTTCATCTATAATAGATATATATTCTGTTTCATTTTTTCATTTTTAGATCTTTTTAACTTCAGCAGAGAAAAACTACCAATTTTATTAACTATTTAAAAAAAAAAAAACTGTTTAATGGTATTCAGCAGCATCATAGGGTATAAAGTAGTTTAGCTCTACAAAAAGCTTATGCTGCAAAGCTCCAGCAGAATTTTGAAGGTTAATATCTTTGGTCACCTTTCAGAGTGGCAAAGCGGGGAAATCCGATGACTCGTACAAGATCACCTGCTTATGCCTGGCTTCAGGGACGTTGGCACGGGCTATTCTATTTTTACTTTGTATTTTAATCTGTCTGTGATTATCAAGGGGAAAAGACTATGAGTGCAATAGCTTGAGGTCAGAGCTAAAAAAAAAAAAAAAAAAAACACAAGAGCAACTAGTTTGTATCTCTTGTCTTTCTCCTTAAGCTTTGTTTTGAACAAGCATACTAGAGCATACATTCTTTTTAGAGACTGAAAATCAAACACAGCACTGAAACAGAAATTGTGGGACAGCATTAGCCTTGCAGATATTCCTTTATTCTGTTTTTGGCAAACCTCCAGTTACTCTTTTTTGTTTTTTTTAAATGCATATAATAAATGCATAAGTTATGCATATAAATATACATGCATATACATGTATATAATATATATGTATACACACACACATATGTACACACGCATACCTGAAGTTGGTTTCTGAGTCAAAAATGAGGACTTAGGGACGTTAGGGGAAATGAATCCCAAGCTCATGATTTCACCACTTGAGATGGTCTGTGCAGAAGCTGAATAAAATCAAAGTGGAAGAAAATAACTGATTTTTTTAATTTTCATTCAGACAGAAAGGGAAAAAACAAAGTAGCAAAATAGTTTTGAAACAAACAAACAAAAAAGCAATTAAAAAAAAGCACCAAAAAAGGCACATGAGAGTATAGAAACAAACAGGATAGCTGCAAGGACTTGGTATTGCAGAAGGCTTGGATTCAAAATCCATGTTTTTACCTTAGATTTGTGGAGCTACCATCTATATACGTAAAGATTTCCTTAATGTCTGTTTTCTGTATTTTCTTCTTTAAACAGATGTACTCTTTCAATGTCCACCCCAAATTAAAAAATGTTATTTTCTGGACCTTTGATCACTCTTACTTTCTTCTCTTTTTTTTCTTTCCAGTTGAAGTTTATCAACTCCTCTTGAAGAAGATACACCTTTCCCTGGATGTTAAGTGTGTTTAATAAAAGGATTGCTTCAGGTAATTTACATAAAAATGTTAATGATGTAGGATGATGCAAGCTTTTTTTTATTATTTCTTTAAAGTGGGATGACAATGGTTCATATTTAGTTTGAGTGTTTCTATAAAGCCAAATTTTATTCAATTCTGCTTAGCCAGTTTTCTTGATACTCTATGTAGGTGATGATTTTTACCTAAATTTAATACTTGGCATTCTTTGTAGTGTTTTGCATCTTTGCTTATGTCTTTTTCTTCAGTTTCTCAAAATCCTTTTGCTCTCCAAACTGTTTGCCATCCTACATCATCTTAATGTCTTTTAGGAGTGAGTTGTGTATTTTTTTTCTGTGCTTCAAACATTCTACGTATCCTTCATTCCAGCGTTTATGGGGCCTTTTAAAAATGTACCCACTAAAAGAAGCTGCTTGCTGGGAAAATATTTCATATTTGACAACTACTCCTGCAATTTTGTAATCCTTTGTTGATGTGTAGGTGGTGGTTTGCCCAGTGGATTCCCTCATGTAGCCTCCAATGATTTGTAGTCTGTTTCTGTGCCAACCAATTTTGGCTTTTCTGTGTTCATGAACGTATTTAAAAGTTTTCAGCATTTCTTTTTCAATCTGAACTCAGTTTCCTGTGCTTCAGTCAGCCTAAAATATACCTCAGGTTTATCATTTGCATAATTCCAGAAGTATTTTATGATCAGCAAGTATTTTATAAATAGCTAAGTCCTTTGCTTCATTGTTAATGTTTCTAGCAATATGTGCAATTAAGATTTGGCCAACACAGTTTGTTCATTTGACAAGTATGGACATACTCTTCCGAAGAGCTGGCCATTTACTTCCTCAGTTCAGTGATGTTAAGTATATGTGGGTCATGCTATTTTAATGCAGGACAAGGACTTTTTCTAGATTATTACCTCTTTGTAAGTATAGAAATGTTCACAGTTGGGAGACATAGTGGGATAATTGAGAGTTTGGTAGGAATGAATATTGAGTAGCAAACTGTCTGTGCTTTCAATTCAGAAATCTGTGTTGAAATCTACATCAGGTAATCCAAGCTTCTTGATGTGTTGGTATAATAATACATTACCGTAAGTATAGTATGTTGATCTTAAAAATAATGGGTAGTCAGGAGTAAAGGTACTCCTTTAATAAGGAGAAAAAATAAAGTAAGTAAAAGGTTTAAAAAAAAAAAGTAAAAGAAAAGTGCATTTATTTCATGTATAAAGGGCATAAGTGAATCACTTGTTTCTAAGCTTTCAATATTTTCCTTTTTTTAAAAAAAAAGAAAGTTTGAACTCCCTATTATTAGCCAAATGTCACTGACTGTATAGACTGCAGAAACCACTACAAATCTATTATTACAGTTTGATCATGACAGAACACAAGTAAACAGTTATCCTAAAAGCAGCATCAAACACTCACTGGTATTGCTACTAGGCAACCACTGTCCCCTGTGAAGGCATTTAGAATTGCCATCCTTAACCTAGAAACAAGATCTAAAATGAAACTTAGGTCACCAAGACGGTGAGTTTTACTGTTTTTCCTCATGCTTGTGCAGTCATGCTACAGAAAGAGGATTGAATATTGAAACCGTCTAGTATATACAGGCCAAGAATAGAGATAGAATATATCAGAAAAAGAATGAAGCTAAGAAAGACAGCAGTCATTTGGAAACAGTCTCACTTATTTATCTTCCATGTGTCTTCTATCATAAAAGGACATTTGAACAGTTCTGGAGTGAATACAGGTCTCCATTGAACATTCTGCTCATTCACAGGGTAAATAATATGCTTCCATTTCTACTTTATACGTATTGAATAATGTTGGCAGTGTCAGCTTCATTGAGGTCTTTATATACATACTTAATGTCTTGTACTCTGTACATATTTTAGTCTAGGTGTTGCATCCCATCTCTGCAGAAAGATTAGCTTCTAGGCTTTTGTTTTTAAAGTTTGTGTCTGTTGTTTGGTCCTCCTTTGCTTTTTAATTGCCCCATTAATTATCTTCAACTCATGAATTTTATACACTGTTCTGCCTACCTTGTGTTTGTCTGTAAATCATGCTGATTTTCTCCTTCCTGTGGACAGAAGGGAAGATTATTCTGGTATGATTCTTTCTCACAATATGTGGTCTGCAAGTGAAGGTGCCTGTTCGTTTTCAGATTTTCACACAGCCTGATGCAATCTTACCCTTTATTTTTTTTTTTTAAGGTTACTAAAATGCAGAACAATATTCACAATATTGGGAACAGCAATCTGAACTCTGAGAAGGAATTGTTCTTGATCAAATTCAGATCAGTAGCAGAAATATCATAAATGATAATGAAAGAATGATGTCTTAAGCAAAAGTATGTGGAGTAACAAAGTTATGCTGCGTATCACATAAAAGTTGATGTAATTTTATTGGCTTAAGTAAGGTGTTAGGTAGTAATAATGAAAACTTGCTATAGTATATTGGTGTATTGAAACATAAGGGCTGTTTCTAAAATTTGAAGGCTGAATATGGGGCCGTACAGAGTGGACATGAATGTTCTCCATCTTCTATGCTGTAGTTTCCACCAGGATGGAAATCTGGGTGCATGATTTAGAGAGCATATTCTTACTTTCTAGATGGATCTCTGGATAGGCCACGATGTGCACCTGCCCTGCAACCCAGAAGACCAGAAAGACTCATTACTATAAAAAGTGCAGTTAGCACCGAATCATCTTAACACTGGGTAATCACTTGCAGCAAACAAAAAAACCAGCAATTTACTTTTCTGCAGTATACTTGCATAGCACGAGAAGTCATGTCTTGCTAACAAATGCATTATTCTGCCTGCTGCCCTTTTTTCATTCAGAGCCCTCTAATTATTAACTTCAAGCTGAAACCTGTACTTTTTTTTTTTTCCTGCCTTGCAGTTAAGGTTGTGGGTTTTGTTTTCTCATTACTGTAGGGCTTTCTGAAGGATAGTGTACAGACATTGAAAAGTCAGGTCCTGCAGGGTTGAGTCGCGTAGTAGTATCTCTGTTCTTCCTCTCTTTAAAAATGTTTTGGGGAAGCAAGGACATGCAGGTGGATAAAATAAGTCCCTTGATGTCTTAATTCAGCTGTGACCTGATCCTTAACTTCTACTGTGTATCATAATCAGCAGGGATGACAAGAAACAATACACCATAGAAAACTGTAGCATTGGGCTCCATTTGTTCTATAAAGGCAGTTATATTGCGGTTAAAAAGGAAAGGGCATAGGAAGTTAGAAGTGGATTTCAGTTCAAAGAAGTGAGATGGTTTGGCCACTACAGTAACTAGGAAAGTTAGAGCATCTTAAAAGAAATAGGCTGAAATAAATGCTGAATAGAAGTACATCTGAAGGAGTAGAGAACGGAATAGCAGTAAAAGCCAAAAGCAATAGGTTCTTTAAATATACCTAAGGAAGATCACATTCTTTTTGATATAGTTCTGTTTTAGAAAAGCTATTTTGAAATGAGACCAAACAATATAAGCAGTGTCTCAGTTAAATTTATTTATATTTTTTCTATTATGCATATCACAGTGCTAACACATTCTGTGGTTTTCTTTACTGCTCCTGTATGTATAATTAGATGAATGGTGAGGATATGTATTCAGTGGCAATAGAAAGATTTCTGTAAGCTGATTTAAATTTGCTGGAGAGTGGGAGAGACAAAGATATAAAATGATATATATTTGAATGATACATCAGGATATGGTAGGTTTAAACAACGCGTACAACTAGCACAAAAAAAAAAAACAGGTTCTGTGAATTCCATTTTAAATTAAAGAGTACATTCTTGCAGTCTTTGTAGAATTTCTTCCTAAATTACCAGTAATTTTCTCTGTTCTTGGTGAGCTATATAATCATATATGGCCAAAACATTGTACCAGGGAGCCTAATAGAAAATGAATTCAAAAAGCCGTGTCTCCCAGAACCCAAAGCCGTACCATGAGATCAATAATGGAAATAACAAACTTAGAGGCAGTATTCAGATGGTTTGGGAAGCAGGGGAGGCTTTTCTGTAATGGTATATGATAAATGTTTTCTTTAATGTCTTGAAGATACCTGTTTTGCCACAGAGATGGAGATCTAAATTTCCTGGGTAACCTTTTATTCCTGTAATATAAGAAGTCAGCCCTAGTTTTGAATAAAGAATGAACTCTTCAGCATAAGGTGGGTGAATTTATATGTGACATCTGCAGAACTGTCTCCGTTTTGACCAGTGATTTCGTAAATTGTTCCTTATCAAAAATCTGCTTTGTACTATTTTTGCTGGCTGTGAAAAGGTTCGATCATTGTCACATCTTTCGTTTGGCATCATCATTATAGTTGAGAGAAAGAAAGGAGGAGACTTTGATATGTTTTTGAGGTTTTTACTGGTGGAAAAAGAAGGGTTTACTGTTTCTTTCATTCTTTTTCTTCTTAGAGGGAATAACGATAGCTCATTTAAAATAATAATAGCTCATTTAAAAAAAAATCACACAAGGATCTTAAACATGTATCTCTTCTTGGTGTTTTTAATTCTCTAGTATTTATGTCCACATAGCATTTCACACAATTCTAGTGCAATGATTTAAACTGACAAGGCTTACTGAAAATATAAGTTCAACAAAACCATATTTGAAAAATTACTTAAAAACACTCAGTCGAGCTAAGGGTGTTTAGGGAGTCTTTTTTGTTTGCTTTTAATTTAAAGTTGTATTTAATTTCAAAAGGCATCCACCACTAAAAGCTAGTAAACTTAACAAAAAAAAAAAAAAAAAAAATTGTTTTTTTTTTTTACTTTTTTTGATTCTATAATGACTTGGTTGAAATATTTTCATGTAAAATATCTTCTTGTTGTAACTTAGTATTAGAGCAGATAAAATTGTCCTCTTTTATTTTGAATTTGAAACTTGAAACTATTAGTGATAGATGGTGAGGCCAAAGAGAAGTCCAGTGATTTACAATGAAGCGAGTTTCATTTTTAGGATGCCTAATTTTCAGTTAAAGAATTGCACTGTAAACATATTAAAGGCGATCTAAACAGGAAATTTCTGCTTAAGCATGCTTTATATTTCATGAAAGGACAGTGCTTCACTTAGTAAATTGCATCATCTGAGCATTTTCTTAGTGAATAAAAACAGATTAAAAGAACATATTGAGTAGTAGCTGTTCATTAATCTGCTGTGCTATTGAGCCCTTATATGAGATGAGTCATAAGCTATTGAGGAAAAATCACAAACTTTTAAATTATTAAAATATTAGAAGCTCATTTATTCTAGTGCTATTTGGCTGTAAATTCAAAGCAGTCCTTCAGAAATCAATAGTTTCATTTTCCTTCTAAATTGTCAAGGTGTTGTTAACACGAGAGCAACAATAGCCATGTTGAAGATTTGGATTGCTTTTAGGCAGATGAAGCAGTGAAAACTGACAATTCACATACTTCCTTATATTTTAGCATCCTTCATGTTTTCTTGTGCAAGTTTTAGCTACACAGATTCTTACTGTTATTTAAAGATTTCTAAACATTTTGGGTTTACATTTTCAATGAAAAAAATCAAAGAATTTTGGAGAAATAAGACGGAAAGAGACTGTAGTATTGACTTAAGTATGAATATACAACATGTTTTTACTACAGGAGCAGAAAAGTAAAATAGCATGTCATGAACTATGAACATAAAGCAGACATGAGTCATCATTGGGAAAAATTCATTCCACTGCACTCAGTCTGTTTGTCTCCGTGATCTGTCAATGTCTGTCTAATCACTTAGTTTGATGCATCTTTTGTATTTTCTTTGCCTGCCCTGAGGAAATCTGTGTTTTAACATGTCCAGAGTCAGTCAGGTACATGTTGTCCAGAGAGAAATACCACAAGATATCCCGGATTGTGTAACACATATTAGACTGTACTCTTCATGGACAGTCCTTACTCTTCCTGTTCAGTCCTAAAGCACGTTCTAGACATTCACTACATTACTAAAGCATACATCCTTCCATTTAAGTGCACTGGAAAGGTGGGGGTTTGTTTGTTTGTTTGTTTTTCTGATTATTTAATATATGTAGACCTTCCACTGTGGAAATTTAGTTGATTTGTATTGGCTGATCTCAATATAATTCTTGGGCCTAATTGACTGCACTGTATAGCCTTGTTTAAAAAAGTAAATTTCAGGTACTTACTAACTCAAGACATGAATCTTAGTAGTAGCAGCATAATTACTTGCTAATTGGTATGTGATTACATTTACATTTGCCTGTCACAACTATAAAAAGAATCCTAATTGCATCTCAAAATAATGGTTTTACTCCATCATACTACCTTCTGCCTAACTGCATAGAAAATAAAAATATATAATTACTTTGAATTTTGACCATCAGAGTCTGGATATTAGAGAAGTTTTTTTTTGGAGAGGCAATTTATGAAGAAAGTAGTCTCTTCAAACTAAGCTTAAAGAAAAACCTTATATTTTAATGAGAGTCTGAAATTAGGCTCCTAATTGCAGGATATTTCTGAACTCTTTATTGTATACCATCAGACTATTAAGAGTAATACCTTTCACATAATGATAGCAATTTAGTGAACATTTATCATTGAATGTTACAACTTACAATGTTTTAACCTGCACTACTAGTCCAATTTTAGAACCTAGAGATGGTGCTTCATAGCCCCAGGGAAAGCACTTAAGCTAACCTAATGGCATATGGTAACACCTTGGGGAGGTTGTAAAGCGTACACTGTTTTTCTACCTGGATCTTTGTGGTATTTTCTATCCCGAGAATCAAGTTGGAATGATAAGCAATTCTCTGAGGAGATGCTCTCATGCTCAACATCTACCCTTTATAGTTGCTTTCATCAACTTGAGACTAATGGACTTTCGAATTCCAAATCTCATCTGGGAATACCTCTTTCACAAAAAATGTAGACATAGTGATCTGAACAGTTTTTAATACAGCAAACTGGAATATTTGAAAATGTCTGAGTGCTCACGTTTGGAAATAGCCTTTTTGTTTTTACCATCCCAAAGTAACACACAGTGTTTCTTTAAATAAATAAAGGCATACACTTGCCCATGAAAATCCCCCATTGGAGTAAAGGCGGAATAATTTAATGGGTGTGCTGCAAGATACTGGACTGAAGGCAAAGGCTGACCATGTGCTCAGCAGTTCATAGGAGAAGCACATCAGCATTTTTGCTGCTGTTGGCAGTGTGGTCACCATTATTCCTATAATAGTTGCCCTTATATCCTGTGTACGTTTTGATTGCCTGTGAATCGCTTGTGTACAAAAGGATAAAGGAAGAGCTAGGTGGGTGGTTACTAATGCTAAGGAACTTGACACGAGTGCAGATACAGAGGTTTTTCTAAAGGACATAATCTGTCGGCAGGGGTATGATGTTCCGCTGTGGTATCGTTACTTCCAGTTGCAAACAGGCACTGCAGACAGGTTGGTGTTCTGTTAATGCTGTCAGCAAATATGTGTTCTAGTACATGATCTCCAGGTGAAATTTCTCTTGTTTTCGAAAATCACTCTGCTGTCAATTAACTTTATCCTTCTTTCTTTTTCCGTTGTGCCTGTGCATTTGTTTATGCACAGATACTTTACCCACTATTATCTGTAAAAGTATGGGAAAATTTCTTGTTCACCCAGTGCCCAAGAAGAGAATTTGTTTAACAGTGCAGGGGATTTGTGGCTCCATTTGACCCTTTCTGGTTTATGTGAGACTCGGAGCATCTTAATTTTTAATTTCTTCTTTTTTTTTTTTTTTCCACTGAAATTCTCCACTTTTCTTTGATTAAAATCAATTAATTAATTGAGACCATATGTTCTAGTTTGACATTTTTTGTCAGAAAGTGCAATTCACTGCACACCTGTGTTCTAAACAGGAGTTAATAGTCTGGGATATATAGCATATATCGGCTATATAGCATAAAGGATATGAAACCTTAATCACCACTATAAAGTCTTGTTTATGTATGAAAAAAGAGCTGTTGAATCAGATGGTTAATTCAAGCCTTGCTATGTTGAGAAACATTTTTGATTTTTTTAACTTTTTTTTAAATAGCTAACATATCTATAGAAGTTTTCAGTCTTCTTTTATTTCTAAATCTGCTGCTGAAACACATATTTCTCTCTCATCTCTTCTGACTCACCTCTTTGCAGTCCCTAATGGCTTCCCCCTGCCTGCCCTTCAGTTATAGACCATTTCAAAAATGCTGTATGACAGCACTTTCTTACACTGTTTTCAAAAAAAAAAAAAAAAAAAAAAAAAGACTGTTTATCCCTCGAAGTCCTGAAAAAAAGAACTTTCATTCTTAGTATTTTCACAACGAAGAGGGCCAAGCTTGGGTTTTTATTCCATAATAACAGAGGGAAGATAGTCTAGAGAAAAGTAGTGTAGATAATGTTAATCAAGGTCACAGTTTGGCAAAATCAAGCTTTTCTTTCTTACTAAGTATTTTCAGTTCCCACAGAAAGGAAAATAAGCCAAGCACACTTAGCAATATCCTGAACAGCTGAAGTTTCGTTGTGCTTAATCTGAGCTGGTACATATGCACTGACATAGGCTCACCACCTCACCCCATAGATGTTTTGTTTAGGTAACTCTTTTTCTACGAGGTGGAGAGAAAAGACAGAAGAGATTTTTATTTCAGTAGCCATTTTATTAAGCTGAAAAACAGAAGGAGGAAGTGCAAAATTAAAATGACTAAGTATAAAATATATATAATTATAAATTTTACATATATATAATGCACAGATATCAGAGTATTTTTCTCCCATTCTGTGACTTTGAATTATTTTAGTATTATCAATGTGTTAGTAGTATTTTATCTTAACGATCAGTTTGTATTAAGAGGATGTCATTATTTTATGTTGTTACGATCAGAGGTGTCAATGGAGGGAAGGAGAATGGTCCAATAAACCATACAGTAAATAGTCCTTAATGTCCAGCTCTTCTTGTTTGCAAATGATATAATACAAGCAGCTAATAGCTCTCATTGTAGAGAGTATAATAATTTAGGAAAGTGGAATTCAGCTTTTATTTTCAACACCGGTCCATTAATTCACTTTTTAAGTACTTGTTTCTCCATTATTAAATAACCATAAATTATTTTCTTTTTGCATTAAATATTAGTAGATTTGAACTTTATTGGCTGAATAGCATCTGATCCTGCTTCCTTCTACTGTGTTCTCCTGTCAACTTTAGATACTTTTGTGTGATTCTTGAAGGGAAACAAATTTCTCACATGGACTTTCTGACTGAGGCATTAGTGTTGCTTGGATACAGTTGGTTCTATTCAAATAGTCTGCTGCAATATTGTCAGCATACCCATTTTGTTACATTGATTTATAAATACATTATCTGTAAAAAGAGCTCAGCCTTTAGTGTGAACAAAAGATAGAAGCCAATAGAATATAATTTAATTAGCTTTTACAAGAAATGTTGGTTTCCCACTATTTTACAAAAAAGACAAATGCTTTACAGCAAATGAAGGCTGAGTACTAACAGTGCTTATTTACCTCTTAGCCTGAATGTCCTAGAAGGCATCTTTCAAATATCTTATCTGTATCATTCACTATTTTAAATTCCATAATTTACAAAATTAAAAATGCCAGTGGTAATTTTCAAATCAGTTACAAGAAACTAGATTTTTTACAGCTTGTTCTTTAAATTTTCCTAGGTGTTTTCTTATCTGCTATATTTTTAGTCTTTAGCATGACAAGACCCTGAGGAACTCTGGAGTACTACACTGTACCAATATCTAATCTATCTTATCTATAACCTAAATCATAGTGATCCACATTGTCTTCATACACCAGTTTAATGTCTTTATGAAAAATAGGAATTAAAATCTTAAAACTTAATTTATCTTTTACAACTTATGACTTTGCCAGTTGTTCCCTGTTAAACTTTTGCACTTGAGCAAAAAGTAATTTTCTTAATAATGTCACTGTCAGAAATATTGATGAATGGCAATGTCTGGGTAAACACCTAGAGGAGGAGATTGCATCAGGTAAGTTGGGCCTGCTACAGGCCTTTGCAGTGGAAAGTAAGTCAAAAATATTAGTGGTATTCACAGGAAAGCTTGCGACAGCAGGCATGAACTACACTATACAATTTTAAACAACATATAATTATAGAGTCACTGTTTTAAAGAATTATTGGAATTAAGCAGATTTTTATGAATGTTGGTGTTTCATGAACTATTCTCAAGCATCTGGTACTCACCATCATGGTTTCAGGCAGGATTTTAATATCTCTGTTTTATAACAGACTGAATGTAGTTAATTTACCACTGAATTTTGTACCACAGTGCTCTCTGTGCTCCATGGCAAACACTGTATTATTTACACAGTCCTTAGCAAGGGCCTGGAAGACGAGGGACATAGTGTTTAGGCAGATTTTGCAGTTGTTTTAATGGTCATTTACAGCAAAGAACGTAGTTATGATGTGACTGAAGTTGTTGTGTGTTCAGGTAAAGGACTATTTTAACTCTGTCTATCCAGAGCTAGGTAGGCATATTGGTTAGTTTGGATTCGTTTTACCCATAACTTGTACTATAGAATTAACATACTGAGATCAAGTATATTCCAAAGCAAAAACTAAGCCAAGTGTTTTTTTTTTTCACAAGAAAATAAGTGTTTAATATATTTAATCTAGAATTACAGTCTTTGTGGGCAGCTTTTTTTTTTTTCAGCCACGAGAATGAAATTCCAGAGATGCAGCTTTGCATTTGTGACCTACTAAGGGTTCACTTTAAAAGAGAGATTTTTAATGCCACTTAATTCTCATGTTTTATTTTAAGAAGCAGTGATTGTTTGTTCTCATATTTTGACCTCCAAGTTAGATCTTACTTAGTTATTGTAGCTGAATGGAATAGAAAGTACTCTGCAGTACAAGAAAGCTGGGTTCAAACGTGTGTTGTGTATAAGTCTTTCTTCTCACACAGCATAACACATTTTGTAACTACCAGCACTAAACTCTACACTAAAACCTACTGTACTTGAAAAACAAGCCACATTTAAACTCTCCATAAACCTCTGCAGGTGAGCAGTTTGGGGCAAGGGTAGTGTATGTGTTCTGTGTGTTCAGATCATACCACACTGGGGCCCTCAACTCCCAGATGAATCATCTAGGTGCTATTGCAATAAAAAGGTAATAACGATAATAATAAAATTAACAGCTGTAGTTAGCTGTGACAGACTGAGTACTTTTTTTCCACTGCCAGCTGGTAGGAAATTGCTGTACATGTTTTTCCCCAGACGTAATCTTGCACTCAGCTTTCTATTATGTAGAAAAATACCCCTGCATTTTCTTGCTTATTTTACCTGTTCGTCTGCTTCAGTGACCCTACTGATCCGAAGCCTTGTAAAGCAGTGAACTAACACTGACAGACATGGGAGGTCAGCCACATGTATTTGCTGTAATAAGTGATGCTTATATGCTTGCATTAACAGCAGGGTTACTTTCAGCCTGTTAGATAAACAGGTATTGAGGTTGAGTTTGCTGCTGTTGTTGGCATTGCCTCCATGTCTCTGCTTTTTCCTGTTTTAGCTCTACAGAAAAGTTGATCAGTTTTTGTCTTCTCTGAAGTCTGAAACTTGCATTAAAACAAAGCAGGAAGTCTCTGGGTTTCTTGGTGTGGTGACAGTGATTGCTTATCTGTCTCCTGATGTGTTGCAGTGCCACTGTACTGAGTGCTCTGGCTGTTACTGTTGATAGAGCTGTAAGTCTCCCTCTCCCCGTGTAAGCTGTTATGTAGCCAGTGCTGCTACAGGCTCATTTTTAAAAGACAAGCATCTTCGCTTTCAAAATTAGAATTCAAATCTTTGACACTTTGGTAGTTGCTGTATACAGGAATGTAAGGAGGATGTTCTCAACATTCAGACAAGAGGCCTGTATAAACTGTCGGCTATGAAGACAACTCAAAGGAGGGGCAATTTTTATCTGCCAAGAGCCGAAGAATGGCCATGCTGATAGAGACTGACAACAGCTTACAGAGGAAAGAGTGCAGGGAATGGAACAATTACAGAGCGTTTGTTTCTCTTGTACAGAATCTCACATTCCCCAAACTGGCAATTTAGGGATTTAGCTAAGAGCTGCATGTGAACTATCATGTGTAATAACCATCAGTGTATTCCTAATTTGTCCAACACATTTTTCAGTCCATTCATATCTGAAACTGACTATATCATTAGTCTCTGAAACTGTGTACTGAAACACTGGAAAAAATATTTTAAAGCTATTATCTTCATGTTTTGGAATGCTACAAGAAATAAAGGGAATAGTCAACCATTCAGTACTGTCCAAGACTTAATTAAAAACTAAAATGCTGTTAGGAAATCTGTTTTGCTCCCATTTAACTGCCTTGAAAGAGGCATCTTATTGAAAGATAAACTTTTTCTCTCAGATTTTAAGTTAATTTTTGTAGAATTGTTATGCTTTTAAAAACCAGGACAAATGAAATATGATTGTTTTGAAATTTATGATAACTTCTTAAATACTATGAGCGTATTTTGAAAAACATTTGTTATTTTTTATATGTTGGAGATTTATTAAGTAGTAAGTATAAACTGCAATATCTGATTTGCAACAATATTTACCTGTGTGCCAGTATTGGTTCAAGCAATCATTGCAAATGTAGATAAGCTTCTTCAATGGTATTTTAATTTTCCTTATGTATTTTGTTTTATGCCCTGCTTAAACTACTCCTAATATTCTGTTTCCTCCACATTTTTAACTATTTCTTACTGAAAATTTGCAGAGTGCCTTCTTTTAAAATCTCTGTGATTCACGTTAGTCATTTATTTATACATTAATTAACTTAATGACAGGTTTCTGTAGCTCTGTATATCCTCTTCTGCCAGGAGGTGTCCTGGCTGAACAGATGACCACCCCACTCTGAGCGTTGCTGTTCTGCTACCTGAGGACAGTGGTGACTTAAATGCACTGTTGGAGCTGCCTATGCGGTCACTAATTCATATCAGTTTACTGAGGTGAGTTGATTAAAACAGTGAGTTAAGCAAAGAGTTCAACTGCCAGAACTGTGAATTCAGTCATTTCTAGTGGGGAGGTGGTAACAAGTAGCTGGGGACAGTAATCTGTTCAGCAGCGTAACTGCAGCCAGAGAAGGCAGGTGTCTTTAGCCTAATTCACTCTAAAATCTCCCTGATTATAGGAGTAGTTAGCATAGGCTTGCACTTTCCCTGGTGTCTTGGCTCAAACTGTGCTTTAACAAACTACCTGTATTACTTTCACATACTGTATTTTTTTTTCAGTACTTGCATCTTTCCCTGTATTCAGCCTGTGTTTTGCAGAATCACCTCATTTCACAGCTCTTAATTAGTTGCAAAGCCAGTGGCAGCCCTACTGCTGTGCCACCTAACCCTCTCACTTATGTTGTTTTCTTCTTGAGACAACATATAACAGCAGCTCTAATCCCATCTGTGATTTACTGTCATTTCTGACTTTCATAGCATAATGTGTTTTTTTTCCTTATTGTTGGTGGGTATTTTTGGCTTCACGCTTAAAAGAGATGTGTTAATTCAAAATAAATAAATAAACAAAACAGTGGAAGCAGGAGAGAGAAGCATCTGCCCACTAAAAAGAAGATCAGGAATTAGAGAACCAGCTCAGCTGGCTGCACAGAGCTTGTTGGTTTCATCGATTTGTTGATTGATTAAGTTGGTAGCTCCGTCTCCAGAGTCACGTATTACTAACTTTTTTTTTTAATGTTATCACTTATGCTGTCTAGATCTCTTGGTGCCTAGCTCATCAATATCTCATCACTTGAAGAGCAAGAGAAAGAAGAAGCTTTTTTTTATCTTGGTGTGACCCTTCAGATGAGATCATCTGAGATCCCTCTCACTTGCACCCCATTTTGAGTGTGAGCTGCTGCTCAGAAAAATTGTTTTTTTTCCCCTCCTCATTTTATTACTTGCAAACTTACAAAGTTTTGATGCTTGTCTAGTTCAAATATTCTTCTCAAATCTAGTTAATTTTACTACTTATGTGGTTTTAGTGAGATTTCATAGTAGATTTCATAGTTCAATAAACTTCACTCAACATACATATTGTCATACTGAATTTGGTTAAAAAAAGGGAATCTAACTTTGTGCAACTCATATGCTTTATTTATCCATACGAGTTTACCTACATGGTTAATTCCATTAAATTCTTATGTTGTAGGCATTTTAAGATTGAGGATGAGTCCATCAGTAGGAGTACCTGAGTGTTTTTCCGTCCTTGTTTATGTTCCTCAATTAAATAAGACTATTCTAATATGCTGGAAAACTTGAGCTATCTTAGAAGTTTATCTAAAAATACTTTATGAGACAGGAATTTACCTTGCAGACTTCATTTTTATAAGTTAATTCATTTGAAGAAATTACTGTGATTTGAAGAATATGTGTGTAGATCTGAGAGCATCTGTATTGCATACAAATAGAAAAAATACCAATAGAAATATAAGACTAAAAGAAAAAATGAAATTGGAGGAAGACACCAAAATGATATTTTTATAACTTTTTCTATATATGTATATAGATGCCATATAATTCAGTTATGATTAAAAATGAATAGTTGAAACTTAATACTTCAAATATGAAAGCCTAATGTATGTGCATGTACATTCACATATGTAGACACATATTTTCAGGCATATATCTGTGCATATGAAATGCATATAAACTAACTGGTCTTGATGCATCTGTTTTAAATTGGAAATAATTAAACCTGGGTATGATTTGTATGTTGGTGGTAAAGTACTTTCAATATTTGTCTTCTCAGGAAACAGTGATTCAACTATATTGTTCAAATTATTTTACCTGGGAGATTACATTTAGATTAGAACACAACAAGCATGTAAGTTTTTCAAAATTCTTTTTCCAAACTGACTTTTGTAGTATTTGTCAATTTTAATGACAATAATTCCCTGTAGGAACAGGGATTTAACTGCCTTTCTAGATTTGTACGGTGCATAATTTTACATTCAAGATTGGTTTGCATTTCAAAATTAATTTCAAATGAAACTTTGTCACCTATCATCCATGGTTAAAACAAAGTTTCATACCAAGCTGGTGTACAGGAGAGAGTTCAAGAACTTCAGTTTTGATTTGGGTTATGAAATGAGATCTGAAAGCAGGTGTGTTTCAAGTATGTTGAGGTTTCCTTTTCAAATCCCTAGCCTCTGAGTTTCACCTCAGAACTCTGGCAAAGGATTTGCACACATCTTCCAACAGAAAGACCAGTATCTAAAAGACACTGGATGTGTTCAAGTGCCTCAGGTCATTCAGCGTTTAACAAACCCTGCATGGGGACAACCCTATGGATTAGGCTGGTTATCGTTTTGCATTATTCATTGGTGTACTTGAAATAGCAGGAATCTAGATGTGCTAGAGACAGTGAGCATGAGGAGAAGTCATTGTATTAATATATTTAATACTTGTTATAGATTTATATTGTTATGAGATGTATTCTCTTTCATAAGAGCCTTAAGGAAGGCTCTAAAGGAGGATATGTAGGAAGTTTGGGAAGCAGTTCACGTTACAGACCTAATAGCTCTCCTGACCTTGATAGAACTGCATGAGTATTTATATTTAAAACAACACTGTGTTTTTTTATATAATTTATTTGTAGTTTCTTAGTGTTTAAATTCCTTGATAGTATTTTACTTGAAAGGCTGTTCCATTAGGATGGCTGGCTTCTAAGTAAAGGCAAATTGTTGTTTCATTTCAAATACAAACTCTGTGCTCTTTGTAGCATGCTGGTTTTAAAGGGTAGCTTCATCTATATGAAGGGAAGCAGAGCAGCAGGAAGTACTCACATAGGATGGATGAGATCTGAGTTTGTGCCTGTTCGTGCCCCAGATTACTCAATAATCAATGATAATTTGGTGCTTCAATTGTTTATGAGATGGACTCAGTGCACTGGAACACTTGCTTCCTTGTGGCAATTGCATCTGGGTTGCTTAGTTCTGCTCTTTGAGACATGTTTGTGATTACACTGTCGTGTCTTCTGTAATCTCTGAATTCTGTTGGATAAGGTGTCTTAGCAGATGCGTGCCTCTATTTGGTAGTCCTAGTTTACAGTCTAAACCTCTATGTATTTTTTCATTCAATTCTCCTAACACTTCACAATAATTATCATGGGCAATGTGATATTGGAAAAAACTCAGCTGTTAGTATGCTAATGTTTCATTTGGTAGTACACAGAAAAAAAATAGTAAAGACATTGTGGGTAAAAAAAAGAGAAACAGATATAAATGTCAGTGGGATTTTTATCCTGTATCCTGTTTTATCATGTATATTCCTGTGACCATTCTTGGGTATGGAAATCTTTTAGTGTACAGTTTATAGTATCAGAAGGAAAAAAAAAATGTCTCTAGGCATCGGAGAGTGAAAAGTTGTGTAAAGGCTTCCAGATTTGGGGTTTTTTAGGAGTAATATTATGTGGAAACAATAACAGCAACCTTGTTAACAACTAAACAAACTGAGAATCAAATATTTAATTAAAGTAGTATTTATGGATCCAGATTACAAACAATTTGAATAAAAGATTCCGCAGCACAGTATGGCTCTCAGTTCTCTATATATAAAGATACCGAATAGTCATCCTTGGCAGGCAGACTAGTGGCTGCAAATCTTGCCTCCGCTGAAAGCCCTTTGCATTGGACTGTGGTAGATGGAAGGGGATGTAATGACATTTACATACATTTTAAGGCTTCTAAAGACTTGTTTAGTATTTATATTTTCTTTGAACATAAAGCCCCAGCAATATGTTGCATTGTTGGAAAGATAGAGCAACATGCAGTTTGCATTCCGAATGTGTGTCCGTATGTCCTTATGCAGCTGCAGCTCTGTCTGCTTTACATTAAAAAGTTCAGCTGCTTACATTGCATTTGATGAATCTTACCACTAGGGGAGAAAAAGAGAATGTTATAGAGGCAAAATAGACATTTCCTTTTGAAGATTTTCAGTATTCCTCCCTTTTCAGTATTACACAAAAAAAATCCAAGTCCCTAAAAATAATTTTAACTTTATTAGTAAATTTATTTCCATTTATTAATATAACTCAGCAAATATTACAATTACTTTCAAATGCAAGTCTATTGAGTCTTGATTTACAGAGAAATTTTGTACACCTAGTCTCCAAATACCCAAAAATGTAAAAAAAAAAAAAAAAAAAATTTGAGCGATCACAAGAAAAATAAATTTTCTGAATTGATTATAAAATCAGCTATTGGCACATTGACTTTTCCCAATAACCAAACATATTAGCAATATCTATAATCACTTCATAAGCAGTGTTTTTCCACTTCTTTAGCAGAAACCATCTCTAATAACTGTGTTTTAGCTGAGTATAAATCTGTTGACTATGGCTTACTTGCAATGCTTCTGGCATTTTCATTGGCTAGTTGTACGCAAAGTGAGAAGGTCAACTTTATTCTAAAAGCTATCTTAATGTGGCACCTAGGCTGGTTTTATCATCCTGAGGGACAGCTGACAGAGATACTTGTAGCAGTGTCTCAGACCTGTGCTATTGATTTGAAACTCCTTGAAGCTTGTCTTTGTATATATATGACCTTAAAAGCTGATATGAGAAGGTTAGGCATGTGCCATATTCATACTACTGGATGAAATTTGTTAAACCTTGCAATACTGAAAAATACTATCGGAGAATGGGGAAGATTTGATCATTGGTTCATACTTATAGCTAAAAAGAGGATTCTGTAATTTCTGGTGATAAAGACTCGAAGCATCATACAACACAATGATTCTGTGAACGTGTTCCCCCAGAGGAATTCTTTCAGAGTGTCCACCAACTCTCAGGAGCAAGTTTTCTTGACAGAATGTGCTGTTTCTAAAAACATTACTATTTATCTGCTTTGTGACTTTTAAAAATCCGAGCTAAATGTTTAGAGACAAACCTTATGCTATTTCAACCTAAAATATATTCATGCACCATTTGACATGCTTATTTAAGCATGTCCCTGGCTTACATGAGCCATTTTAGGGGTTATGATACTAAAGAGAGATGCGTGGCACAACAGAGCAGGTTGGTGCAGAGCCGAGGGGTGCACAGCATCTTTCTGGGTGTGAGGAGCACAAATGCAACCCTACAATCAAGGCTTTCCTGGGGCATTATTGTTGTCTTCCTCTTGGAAGAGAGTTCATGATTCTGTGTGCCCTTTACCCTATTGCAGGTGACATTTGTGAGCTGTGGGAAAGTGTCCCTTCAAGAAGACTTACAAATCTATACATGGCTGTTGATACAGATATGAGAGTCTGCTTCTCATCCCTTTCAGCTCTTCAAATCTGATTGTGCAGATGCAGGACTGGGGCCACCATAAGACATACGGAAGGTCTTATACCCCATCTGTAAAAGCAGCAAGCTTTTTTTAGCAAAAAAAGGAAATGATCTTATACATCTGCCTTCAGGTTTGCCATCTCAATGCCTTCGATCACTTTAAAAAGTGATGCAGTGTTTTGAATGTGAATTTGAGTTATATTTTAGAGTTCCTAATTTAGAATTTTGCTTTTCCTATATATTTAAGTATATGTTAAAAGTTTTGGAGGGAATTACAGAAGATAAATAAGGGTTAGTTTGGTGGTAGACACTCTAATTCAAATTATACTTCCTAAAATTAAGATAATAAAATTTTATCATCACAGTAAGCTGATGGGAATATAGAGGTGACTGTGATGCACTTATTGCCTCTAAAATGACCTTTGTGTCAAGCCCTATGCATTGATTAATTTTTAAACAATATACTTTCATTTTATTTATCACATTGCTCAAGAACTGCACTTGCGCTGTGCCCTCATTCTCTCTTTTATTCACTTAAACCAACAACCAAAGAGGTGTCTTATTTCTCTATGGTTTTCACCTTTTGAAAATAAAGTAAAACCTGGCAGACTTAGAAAGCTGTGGTAGCAGATGGACTTATCAGCATCCGTTTGCATTTTTTTTGAATTGTAGCAACAATCATTAAATTGAGGTTAATTAAATAAAATATTTCTACCTAATTATGTGATAAAATTTCTAGTGCAGACTCTGAGCATTTTTGTGTGGTTGTCTATAATTTCTTGGTTAAGAAGGCAATTTATTCTCAAGGTTAATTGATGATGAACAGATTATTGAAGTTGGATTATATGACACCTTTTTTTTTTTGTGTCCTATTTCATTTTAAATAAGATTGGGACAATTCTAAATGGGAAGTTGGCGCCAGCATTGTAAAAGGATGGTGTATAAAATTGCAGACCTTTTCTTATGCTGTTGATTGATAACCTCTGATAGAATCACAGCAGTGCCATAAACATTTTAGTGCATCATAAAGTTTTTCTGTATATAGCATTACCCACATGCTATAGTCAGTTTAAGACTGCAGTTTCAAAAAAAGTCATCAAAAATTAACTTTAATAATAAGTTCTGAGTTTTTAAAAAGGTAAAACTTAGGAAAGCTATAGTGCTCTCCATA